AAAAATCAGTAGAAAAAAAAATTTATATGATTATGTTACTTAATAAACTTTTTGTATAAATTTTTTTTTTTGCTTTCATATATTTTATTACTTTTTCCAATCCTAATATTGAAACTAAGGAAGAACCATTATAACCATCTTATTTGGTTGAATCACTCAAAAAGTAATTTTTACATCAGTTTTTGAAAAATAACGATTTGGTTTTTTTAAAAAGTAGTATTGATCATTTAAAAACTTTTTTATTTTTTGATAATCTCAAATATAAAAACTTACTAATATTAATATCAATCATTTTAAGTACATTTTACTAATAAAAGTGTTACTTCATATACAAATTCAAATATATCATTATTGAAAAATTCTGAAGAATCGTTGTTTGTAAGGATTTATAGAATTTTGGTTTTCTTTCATTTATATATTTTAGATTAATGTTTCTTTAATAATTCATCAAAAAGATGCATTGTTTATTTGTGTTATATGATGCTAACGATATTTGAAGTACATATTGACCATAACCGAAAATAAATTTTCGGAATTACAAAACAAAAACAGATATTATTCATTTCAAAAATAATTATTTTAATCAATAAAAGACATTGGGTTAAAAATTGTGAAAATGATTGTTCCATCAGATATTGTTTTGAAAAAGATGTTTAATTAAAAAATCAACTTAACCAATTTATTTTTATTAAATTCTGGAATACAAGATGATTATGCTGATTTATTTTTAGATATTAATTTATGCTATTTTATTAATATTAAAAAATGAAAAATAATTCATTTTATTTTCGTATTCATTGATATATTTATTGTTTTTTTTAATATAATTATTTCGATTAAATAAAAATCGCTTCACTATATTTAAATGGCTTGCCGTCTACATATCAAAATATGCGAAGCACAAAAGGTTCTTAAAATGGACCTTGGTGGAAAATCCGATCCATACGTTACATTGAAGCTCAAGAGTCAAGACAAAAAAGACGTTCAAAAAACTCAAGTTATCAGCAACACAACCAACCCAATTTGGAACCAAGAATTTGATATTGTTGCAAATGACCCCAATGATTCCTTGCTCATCAACATGTTCGATGAAGATATCAAGAATGACGACAAAATGATGGATGAACTTTCATATCCAGTCAATACATGGCAAATTGGCGCTCCAGTTGACAGAAAAGAAGTTGACCTTAAGCTAAAGAAGAAGAAGGCAGGTAAGTTAATCTTCGAAGTTCAAGCTTTCCCAGCCGAAGGTGTTGCTGCTGTTTCAGAACGTGCTGTTGACCTTGAAGGAACCACCGCAACAGAAGGAATGCGCCTTCACATCAAGGCATTCGATGCTAAAGATGTTCTTAAGATGGACTTAGGTGGCAAATCTGACCCATACCTTAGATTCCGTTTGAAGGGAAAGAAAGAATCAACTAAAAAGACACAAATCATTAGCAATACCCGCAATCCAGTTTGGAACCAAGAATTGGATGTTGTTTCAAAGGATCGTCAAACTGATATCCTTGAAGTTGATATGTTCGATGAAGATATCAAGAATGATGATAAGATGATGGACAGAATCTCAATCCCACTCCGTGAACATAATTATGGTGAACATTACGTATTTGATAACGAAATCAACCTTAAGAAGAAGAAAGCTGGTAGACTTCACTTCGAAATTGACTTCTTACCAGAAAATGGAGAACCAGCTGTTCAAACAAGAGACGTCCAACTTGAACAACCAGCCGGACAACCATGCAAGGTTCGTGTTCATGCAATCAAAGGCGAAAATCTCTTAAAGATGGATGCCAACGCTTCTGACCCATATGTTAGATTGCAAATCAAAGGCCAACCAGACTATACCCAACAAAGGACTAAGACAGTTGACAATAACCTTAACCCAGTTTGGGATCAAACATATGACTTAGTCTGCAATGACTGGAATACCGATGTCCTTCTTGTTGATCTCTACGATGAAGATCTTGTCAACGATGACCAAATGATGGACCAACTTGCATTTCCAATTAATCAATGGCCTATCGGCACTCATGTTGATTACAATGATAATATCAAATACAAAGGTAAAGATGCAGGACGTCTTTATCTTGGAATTGATGTTATTGATGTTAACACCCCAATTGTACAAAACCGTGATATCGTCCTTGAAGAACCAGCTGGAGATTACTGCCCATTCACACTCGAAGGATATGGATCCAGCTATTCAACTGATTTCACAGGTTATACAGATTGGTCTCATTCACTTTCTCCACTTAACTCAGCTGATGAAAAGAGACACCACCATCATGGCATCCAAAAGAAGACTGAAGTTAAGACTCGTGAAATCACACTCGATCAATCCAAGCCAAACAAAGTTGGAGAGATAGTCAAAGGAACTATCATCAAAGCCAATGGACTTCCAAAGACTGATTCAGATGGTTCAGATACTTATGTCGTTCTTACCGTTATTACAAAAGAAGGTGACAAAGACAAGAAAGGTCAAAAGGTTAAGACTGATATTATTCATGACACCCAGGATCCAGAATGGAACTATGATTTCGAATTACCAACAGCAAAGAAGACCGACATCATCAGAGCTAAAGTCTGGCAATATCACAAAGTTGTTGGTGACCAAATCGTTGCTCAGGTTGATATCAACATTAATGATCTTCGTCCAGACGAACCACTTGAGCAAACATTCCCACTTGATAAACCACCAAAGGCTATAAAGATCGGTAAGAAGGAATATGGTACAATTACACTTCGTTTAGTTCTCGCTTCAGTATACCAGTAAGCTTGATTTTTTCATTTAACTAAAATCAATTTATCATCAATCGTAAAATTTTTTTAATTTAAAAACAAGAACTGGTGAAACTTCTACTGTTATGCACGTTATTAGAAGGGCAGAAAGTAAAATATTATTGTGATATTTATAGTTTATTGTGTATATATATTTCATATAAAGGAGTTGCCCTTCAGAGGTTTTAAAAATTTACTATTTAAAAAAATCAAAATCATCAAAGGTGAATTAGATAATCGCATTTTACTTTCCAAGAGTAGCTACGCATGGATAAAAAAGCTATTCAAAAAGTGGCGTAGAAAAAAACGATTGATATTTTTTATGTAAAAAAAACAGCATGAAAAGCATTTTAAAAACATTTTTTACTTTTAATATTATTTATTTTCATGTCACACTTGAAATTAATGTGATTGTAGCTTAATTTGCAGAAATTATTGCATAGTAATTATTATCAAAAGAAACAGCTGAAAAATAGAGATAGATTTTATAGGCGAAAATTATTGGATATAAGGTGAAGGATCTAAAATTGCACCAAGAATTTCAAAACCAAAAGTATATTTTGGAAAAAATGGCAAATAAAATAATTGAAAACCGCGGTTTTTCAATAATTCAATTATCAAGATGGCCAATTAAAAACACCTTTCATGGCGGTTTCTATTGACATTCAAAAAGTCCGGATATTTCTGAGCCCTCTCAAAAAATAATCATGAACTTTTTGATAAGATGAACTTTTTCTGAGTGCATTTTTTATGTATGATATTTAAATCAACCTTTTTTTTTTGACTTTTTTATTATAAACGGAAAATTAACGTATATGAAAATTTATCATTTCAAAGATATTGAGAGAGCTCTCATTTTTTGAATGTAAAAATTACAAATTTATAGAAATATTTCTATATTATAAAACAACTTTTTGTTATGAAAAATATTAAATTTTAAGAATAAAAATGGCTTCTAATACTCAAAAACTTCAACTTTTTCATTATTGTAAAATATTAGGGCTATTAAATTTGACTGATAGGAAATCAGGGTATCAAAAACGTCACTTTTTTGCATCTGATACTCGATTATCAGTTTAAAAATCTGATATCGAGATTATCGATAATCAAGATATCAGATATGAAATGTGATATAAAAATAATTGTGAACTTGATATCAATTACCGAGATCTCGAGATCTCAAACTGATTTATCTTTTTTTATAATTGGTATATGTGATTTTATAATATTTAAAAATATATAATATAATGTATTGATGTTTATTTTAAGATTAAAATCAAAAAATACATTCTTTTTTTATGAAATATTTGAGATTAAAATACGATCATATTTTTATCAAAAAGTTTAATTGAAAATTCTGATATCAAAAGCAGAGAAAAAAAATCATGGATCTCTGAAATCGATCTCGAGAATCTGTGTATATTTATGTATCGATATCCAAAAGTCAATCAATTATCTATCTCGAGAATCGGAGAATAACAAGTCTAGTTTCAATGACCAATTTAAAGATTATTAAATGGGTAAGAAAATTTATTAAAATCACCAAATAAAACCTAAAATTTTAATAAATTTTCTTACCCATTTAATAATCTTTAAATTGGTCATTCAATTGATGTACCCGGATAGTTGTTCAGGAGGTCGATTTCATCTTGAGATGGCTTAGTTGAATACACTATATTGAGCTACTCGCATAGGAGTTTCTTAGCTGCCTGCGTACGATGCTTAGTTCTGCAACCATATTTGAGGTCAACTAGATGTTCATTGAGTCATGCAGCCAGAAATCGGTGCCAACATAGATTATCATCGGCGTTGTCCGTGATGATGAATTCACTATTTTTGATTTCAGAGGCAATTCCTTGATACGTCCACTAACCTTGACCATTCGAGATACAGTGAATGAAACGGTTCCTACGAGAATTAACTTGGTACTAGATGTTGAGGTTTCATATGAGTGCAGTACTGACTCAATATAGTACTTCACGATATCAAGCGATTGCTCATCACGAACCACAATTGGGATAGCAGATTTATAGTTGTTCCAATTGATTTCCCTAGCTTGATATTTAAATTTTTCGGTCACAGACAAGGGAAATCCCTTGTTGATGAAGGTTATGGTTTGTGCTTTGATAAAATCATTTTAAAATTAAAACATCAAAACGCGATAGACATTCTTTATCACAATTCAAAAAAGCTTTTTATAAAATAAAAAAGCCAAAAAATGCTTATGAGCGGACTCGAACCGCCAACCTTCCAATTACAAGTCGAACGCAATAACCAATTATGCTACATAAGCTTACATGCTTTATATCGTTATCATAACTTTTATATCTTTTTTTTTTTTTTTTTTTTTTATTTTTGAATTAAATTCTTATAATATGATAAATTTTTTTTATCATAATTAACATCCACTTGCTAACTAAAAAGTATTTCTATATAATATTAATTTCACATTTTGATTTGCAGGTTGTTGAATTAGAATTAAAAAAAAATATTGATTGTTATATTTTTAATACCCAATTCTTATAACAATCAAAATGTAAAAATTAACATACAGCCTCCTTTTTAGCCAATGCCAGCTCCATCAGGCAAAGAAATGGAAATTACTTGACGAACGAAAATTATTCCAACAATCATAATAATAGGCTACACATTGACACCAAGACAGCCTCCACCAAACAAACTGTGGACACAACCAAAAGAAAGATTGCCTCCTGTAATTACAATGCCTTTGAATTCTTTACACCAACAACATCGAAGCTATAACCATGAAAAGCCTGCCTGAATTTTTCATTTTTCATTATTTTTGATAGTTTTTTTTATTCAATTTATTTCGTTGAGTTTTAATAAAAATTTGCTTTTCGATTTTATATAAACGCATGCGACATGTGATATAAAATGTAAATGGAAATTGAAATCAAAGGCGGCCTTAAAGTCAAAATCAACCAAAAAAACGATACTTGCTCAATTATTAAGTCATCAAAAGACACAAGAAATGTTTTCATTCCACGTTTTGCAGAATATGAAGAGAAAAAATATAAAATAATCTTATTTGATTCAGGTGCTTTTAGTGGGTGCAATATTGATTCATTATCATTTGCAGAAGACTCAGAATTTGAAATGTTCGAAGGTTATTGTTTTTATGGAGCACATATCAAAAAACTCAGAATTCCACCAAGTGTCAAGTATATGAAGAATGGGTGGTGCAACAGTCTCCATGAATTAAATGAAATTGAAATTTCACCAGACAACCAACATTTTATATTTTACAACAACGAATTCCTTCTTGGGAAGAGCAGTGATAACATTGAAAAATTTGATGTTCTCCATTATGTAAACCATTCAAATTTATATTTTTTCATGTCATTCAATTTTGAATTTATTTTTGTCCAATCTTCAAGTGATCCTTCAATTGTAACATATGGGAAACCGCAGCCACCACAATTAACTTTATATTTGAAATAATTTTTCATAGCAGACATGATTGTTAATTGGCCAACTGCCAATGAAACTGTTGTAGTTGTTGTAAAGTTCGGTGTCATCGTTTCAACAATTGATTCTCCTGAGTATTCTGAAATTTGTTTTACAAAATCAGGAAAAATTTCTTTTTCAAAATCTTCTGATTGCATCGTGAAAAAATTACATTCTTGTCTCTTTACAATCAATTCTTTTTGACCATCAAAACTGACAAACATTTGTCTAAGCTGTTCTGCATTGGCACTGATATGATTTGAAAACGCTTGAATGATTAATAACCAGATTTTATCTGGTGATATTGTCACAGGTCTATGGTTCTTATATGCATTCACAAATCCTTGAAGAACAGGATGACATCCATGATCAAAAATAATTTCTTGATTTGTCTTCATTGAAGTTGAAATATAATTTCAATATTTTTCTTCCAATTATTCTTTTTCAACAAATCCTGGCCGAATCAATGATAAGTTTTTTTTTTCTGGTTCAACAGGTATTGTTAATGTTTCGACTTCTGTTTGATTTAAAATCATTGATATAAAATGAAATTTAAAATTTTAAGTTAAAATTTCATTTCAATGTCACTTAACTTTTTTACTGGTCTGTCATCAATAATTTTATATATAGTTGGTGGACATAATTCTGTTTTGGAGACATAATTATGTTTTCACATCATTTCTATATATTCAAATTGGACTTTTAAAAAAACAATTGTAGAACAATTAATATCATATTGGATACATTCTATTCCCCGATTTTCATTCACTTTTATCAAACTAAATTTGATCATAAATATGATATCGAATTTTTAATTTCTGAATATTTTTTTATTATTTGAAAAAAATTATAATTTACTTTTCATCTATAATTAAAATGTATCATTATTATTTTTTGAAATAAAATAGATAATTAGAAAAAATGGTTTCATTTTCATTTCACTACTCAAAAAACTCATTTCATATCACATTTCATGCTTTTACCATAAAAAAAAGGTTGTTTTAATTTGCTCTAACATAGTTATTATTTTAGAATATAATGTATATATTATATTTTAGAAAAAAATTTATTGAAATAATAATTATATAAAAAGAAAAAGTGTTTTCAAAATATGACAAAAATCATTCATACAAAATTACTAATTTTGAAAAATGAGTTTATTTCATTTCAAATTAGATGCAGTATTAATCATCTATATGATGCATATAATATATTAAATATAATAATATGGTTGAAAAAGAATCAATCTTGGAAAAATTTCATTTTTCTTTTTTTCATTCAAAATCATTCATAAATCACTCATGCATAATTGATATGATTTCAGAATTACATTATTTGATAACACATACAATGAAATATATTATTAATCCTCTAAAAATCATTGTTGCCCATCAAGATTTCAGGTTTTTCTAAGAAATATACAAATTACACTTTTTTATTTTTTTCTATTATAATAGCATTAAAAATAGCAATTAATCAATAAATATTAGGTAAGTATAGAAGAACTATTAAAATAATGAAAATAATTTCTCAATGTCTAAAATTGAAAGTCTTTTTCAGTTATTTCAGAAGTTACTCTTTTTCATTAAGGTAATAGATCTTGAGTAGAACCGCCAATTTTATTCTTTCAATATCATTATACTATATGCATTATATCAAATATTTAAATAAAAATTTAAAAGTTTTTATTTTTTATTGGAAAAAAAACAAAAAAGTGATATGATTTTTAACTTTATTTTGCGCATCAAAATTTTCTTATATGAAAGTTTTTAGATATCAATTATCTGACAAAATTATATCATTACTGATTATGAATTAATGATATTATTATTAAATCCGAAGTTTCAATTATTGAGAATAAAATAAGCATTTTAACTTTTTTTTACATTAATGGCAAAATTTCATATAAATCACAAATATAATAGCTCATTTAATTAAATAATGATGTACATAAAATACATTAATAAAGTATATAATATTATCAAATTATCTTTAAAAAGTATTGAGAAAAATGTGTTTTATTTTTGTGTACCATTCAAAAAGTTGAGCAAACATGATTATGTCCCAAAAACATAATTATGTCCACCAACTATAAATGACATTTAGAAAAAGATGAAATGCATTAAAATCTTGAATATAATTTAAATATGACAATTCAATTTTAAATAAACAATCCAAATGATTCCTCATAAACTTAGTTTTTTCAGTTTTTCAAAGAGATCTCAAATATTTGAGAGGACACTATGAATATCTTTAGAAGAAACAAATGTTTCTTGTGTCTGGAATTTTTACTGAATTTGGATAACTTATACTATTTTCGGAAGAAGAAAGATAAACGAGCTTAAAAAAGATTCTTCCATTTATTTAGTAAAACTTTATAAATGCATATATACCGATTTATTATTTAACTAAAAGAATAAATAATTCATGAATATTAGAACAATAAATCAATAAATTAAGTTTTTTTTTTTTTAAATAATCTTTTATTTTATAGAAATTTCTATTTGACGTATAAAATAATTTGAGAAAGCTCATTGAATTTTAAGATAAAATTTTTGCCATATAGAAAATTCAGCCCATTTTTTACAAAATGTTTGCACAAATTGATGTTCAAGATAATTTTTTGGTTTTAAAGAATTATTTTGTTTATAGGAAAAAAGAGTTTGGTTTTGACATTGATTTATTTAAAAGATCTTCGATGTATTTCCAAGATAATTTTAACGAGCTTCAAGAAAAAAAGTATATTAATCTTATTAAGCAAGAATATGAACATATTATAGAATTATCAGAAGATTCAATTAATGATTTTATTAAATATTGCCATAATCAAAAAATATCAATATCAATTGACAATGTAATTTCATTAAATTATTTAGCAAAACAATTTACTGTTAATAATTTAATAAAAATCACAGATAAAATCATTTTAGATCATAAATCGGAGCTAGCATTACAATTAATATCATTTTACAATGATATCGATGATTCAAATAAGGAAGATATTATATCTGAAAATTTCTTCGAATACATTAATAAAGATCAAATATTTTTACTCCAAATTCCAACTTTGCATCGAATTTTGAAAAAAAATTTACAAATTTTTGAAAAAGAAGATCAAAATTCAAATAAAGAAAAGCTCATTGAATTTTTGTTTCAATGTCTTTCAAAATTTGGAAGAAGAGCATCAGTTTTATTTGGTGAAACTAATTTTGAGAAAATTGATATAAAATATTTGAATAGGTTGCTTACTGAATTTTCTGATATATTTGATTTCCACTTTTTGAATATGAATTTCTAAAGAAAAATTTTGAAATACAAAATGAGACAATTAAATATATAGAGATACAGAAAAAACTATTGAATGATCAGAAACTTTTGAATGAAGAGAATGACAAAATAAAAATTCAAATAAGTCATATTCAAAAAGTGATGAACGATTATGAACAGATGAAAAATGAAAATAAAGATGTTCATAAGCAATTGACAGAAATTCAAAAAGAAATTGATAAAACAAAAAATGAAAACCAAGCAATTAATGAAAAGTTAAATGATTTGTCAAATGAAAATCAGAAACTCAAAAATGAAATAAAAAATCTTGATTCGAAGCTAGCTGATTTAACAAATGAAAATCAAAAACTCAGAAGCCAAAATGGATCATTTGATATAAAAATTGATAATATTTTAAATGAAAATCATTCATATAAAAATGAAATTCAGACACTTAAAAATGAAATTCAGACACTTAAAATGAATTTAAGAAGTGTATCAAATGATAATCAAACCCTTATAAATGAGAATCAAGAAATAAAGAGAAACATTGGAAAA